TAGTTCGACTCCCATTCTTTGAATAAGTTTTTTTTTAAGTCTTCGCAGTTGACGTCGAAACGACACATGGCTAATCCCCACAAAAAGAGGAAACCACAGACGTGCGTATTATTCAAGTAAGTTTCGAATGGAGGGTTCAAGATTATCAATACCAATTACTCCAGTGCTAGGATTCTTACGGATCCTGGCTGATATAAAGTATTCGGAATTGGTTGAATTACTTGAATTACTTGAATGTAGAAATGGGGTCTTAGGAAGACGGGGTGCTCCATGCTTCCTCTTCATGAGGGCCCATTTAAGTGTGGGCAGGCTGATTGTCCCCATCGGAATTGGTTGTTACTTTGAGGAAAAAAGGCGAAACTGCCTACCAGTACACAGTAGGACCATCAGAAGACCGGAGAACGGCGACTGTGCTTAGCGCTAATACATCGTATTGTTGAGAATGATCATGAGATCGAAACGCAATGCTTTTGTCGTATTTTTGCTGGCTACAGATTAAGTTAGAACGATGAATGCAAACAATATGCTTGGGACAGTGTTGACAGCGATACAAAAAATTAATTTTTAAATCTTCTTATTGCGTCAATTCCTTTTGGCTGCAAGCAGTAAATAAATTCTGATATCTGTTTTGTGTGTGTGTGTGTGTGTGTGTGCGCGCGCGCGCGCGCGCGCGTGTGTGTGTGTGTGTGTGTGTGTGTGTGTGTGTGTGGAGAGGGGGGTTGTATTTATTTTATTTTTATTTTTTTTGGAGGGGGTGGTTTTTGTTGTTGTTTTTTTTGCGCTCCAGTGTCGGGATACATCGACGAGGTCTCCTGATGTTTGTTGCTGCCCTCCTTATCTTTAGCTCGTTCTATTTCTGCAACAGATAGGCCTACTCTAGGGCGTGGGCATGTGTAATAATAATATAATACTATTGTTTATAGGGTTTTATGTTTGGAACTAACTGAAAAAAACCCGGGGGAAAAAGACTCAACTTCATGGTGATTTGACAGAGTTCTTATTATCGAAAATCCAAATGAAATACAACCTTCTTCGTCTAGCTTCATTCGATACTGTGTCCGATTACTACAGACGATGACGCCAAAAGGCGCTCTCACGAGGTGCAACTGGGGCTACGTAAAATCAGTGTGGCGTCTGGGGTGTAATGTCATTCTAACACATTTACAAATGACTGCTGAAGATCCATGAGGTTGGGGGTGGGGGTCAAGTTACTGATCGTACTGAGTTATCCATAGATGCTTGGGTTGGATTCCATATAATGTTAGGACTTTCGGCATCATGGGTGGGCTCTTGAGGCCGAAGGATGGGGGAGCTTAGGATTAAAACTAATGTCAAGTAACATCAGTAATATTATATAGTTATGTGGCTGGTCACTAGGTTATGTCCTTGACCCAGTGACGATAGCTCTAGTTCAGAAACAGTAGTAGTAGTAGTAGTAGTAGTAGTAGTAGTAGTAGTAGTAGTAGTAGTAG